ATTATATCTTAAATTCTCACTCCTATATATATATATATTCTCTTTCATTCTCTCTCTCTCTTCTCTTAATTGTGACATTTTATACTCTTATAAAATCTCAAAATCAAATTGTAAACCTCTATATATGTTAGCCATTGTAAACTTCTTTATGATGTGCTATTATTATTAATATTTTTTTTATTATTACAAAAAATTGATAGTTCAAGGTGAAAGTTTAAAAATAAACAATCAAATACTATTGTTTCATCTCATCGTCATTTATTCATTAAAGGCTCATTATTTGATCCATAGATTATAAATTAATTTTTTTTATATTTGTCTAATTGTTTAAGTTTGAATATATATCTAGAAAATAACCTTTTGGTCATCTAAAATGAAAAAAGAAGGAAACAAATTGATATTTATTCACAAAAGGGTGTTCTGGTATTTTTTTTGTTAAACATCCTATGATTATTCTTCAAAATGATGCAAATTTAGATAAATTAGACTACAAAACTAAAAATTTTGAGAATAGAGAACTATAAGAATAATGAAAAGTCCAATATTTAATAGAAAATAGTGAAAATAAAGATGATTGTCATAATGAAATTGAATATTTTAATGATAAAATTGCATATATCCTTGTTGAATAAATAAAATAGTGAGTATAGTTCATTAGACATTTAAGATCCAATAAGATGAAATAATCTTTAAAGTAATTATCAGGATGAATTACTAAAATTGGTCCTAAAAGAGATATGCCTATTATGAATGTTCCTAGGGACACTTCTAATATCTTAATGATTGTACATATAGAACAAACTTCGGGAATGGTCACAATATGAAAGATCTTTTAGGAGCACATACTCTTTCAGAAATAAATTGGAGCGTGAACATAAGAATCTTTATGACACAATCAATAATTCAATTCATTTTCAATTAGGTCTTACTCTAGCCTCTTTAGGAATTATTATTTCTTTAATAGCTCAATACATGTACTCATAAAAAAAATACAAGAAAGATAATACTCAAATAATTGAGAACATCATTTTTCTAATTTGTCCATGGCCTTAAAAGACTCAGGGTAGACCTGGGTCAAACATTATGTTTTTGCAAGTAAAAATCGAATTTTGAAATATAGATGAACTCCTTGTATCAGGATAGATTTTACCATCACTAAATTAAGAGATTTGATTGTTAAAAATTGGAGTTTAGTCTCTTGTTTAATTAGCCGTAAAGTCATGTGTATAAATATTATTTTCTTTTATAGAAACCAACTCCAGAAAAAGTAATATTGTTTTTTGTTTTAAAAAAGAATTATTGGTAACAGCTATGATGATAAAATTAGTCATACTACATTTCACTGACATATGGAGTCCAGAATTATTTTGGAGGACAAATATATACAGTATAAGAACGTACCACACAGAATCCAGTGCAATCTTGATGGCGGGGTCCTGAGGAATGCATTGGCAAAAGCAAAAACACCCACCAAAGTTTTAGCAGAATAAACAATTTTTCATGAGCTTATATAGGCAAAAACTTGAAATAATTAAAATCAAAATAACTTGCAAGTTCCATGTACGTGCACAAAGTTTTGTTTTGATATAATCACTTCATATATAGGAAACACAGAATTATTATCAACCAACATGAAATTTTTTTACTTTAATTGGTTATATTTAAGTTCGGATGTTAAGTACGTAATTAATATTAGAGAGATTTAACGCTTATATAGTAATCTTGTGAGAGAAATCACTTTCAATAAAAAATACATATAATCTCTTAAAAAACGAAAAATATATTTGTGAAGATAATTTAATTCTTGATCCTCCACTTGCAAACATCCTAGCTAGTGTAAGAGTTAATGGCATTGGATCACCAGACGAAACACTGGTATTATTCATATTGATTACATATCAGTTGTGCAATTACTTTTTCATCATATATTCTCACCTCCCCAGTTTGAAGCTTATTATTAGCAACGTCTCTGACCAGTGGCGGAATTTGAATTAAAAGTTTGAAGGTCTCAAATTATTATTTTTTATATATAAAATCATAAATTAATTTTTTTATTAAATAAAAAATAGAATTTTTCTTTTTTTTACTTAATTTTTTTTAATTTTATTATAATTAATAATATAACAATATATAAATATAATATTAATATATATATATATATATATATGTGAAATGCTAATATATTCCCACTTATTTTTTAGTTGGAGTATATTAGCAATTTATACCAAAATTTTAGGATAAGAAAATCACTCTTCTTTTTTATTTGATTAATTTGTACAAAGGATATTATAGTAATTTAATTTAACTTTAAAAGAAAATAAAACATTTTCTCTCTTTTATTAACTTCATTCTCTAATTTATTTCTTTTTTTTATTAATTAATTTTTTATTTCTTCATAAAGAGGGAAGACATCATGAGAGATGAGAGAGAAATGAGTTAAAGAAGGAATTTAATAGGAGAGAGATAAATAAGTTAAAAAAAGAATTTAATAAAAAAGAGAAGTAGGTTAGAGAAGGAATTTAATAGAAAATAAAAATGACTTCGAGAATGAAGTTAATAAGAAAGAAAAAATATTTTATTTTCATTTAAAATTAAATTAAATTACTATAATATCCTTTATATAAATTAACCAAATTAAAAGAAATGAGTAATATAAAATTTTAGTATAAGTTACTAACATACTTCAACTAAAAAATAAGTATATATATCAGATGAAGTATATATCAGTGTATTAATACAAATCAACAAGAAACATGCACACTTGGGTGATTACGTATTGGAGTAGATCGAGAAGCGATATAGGAATAGGTGTCACTAATATAGTGCTAAGACATGCATGAAGTCCCCATTAAGATCTGCTGGAGAAGCCATATCGAGTGTGGGATCACCAATCATATCACTTAACAAACTGATATGACTAAGCTTTCATTCATAATAGCAATATTTTTACTTGTCTTCGTATCACATAATATTTGTTCACATTTAGGATTTATAAATTTAACAGGGATTAAGTTTTTTTCATCATAGCATAATTAACCTGTTATTAATTCCTTCTGTTTACTTATCAAAATCTCAGTAAAAATCTTTTATCACAGATAATTAATATAGTTTAAGGGAGAACTCTTTCTTCAAATATTTATTACAAATATTCAATGAAATTACATATCTATAACTGAAATTCAAGATATATACTATTATTCGTGGTGTGTTAGCACTTATAATAAAACAACAATAAAATTAGAGACTAAAAACATGTATTTCAATAAATGTAAAATAAATACAGTCGACCAAAATCAATGTAAAATCACCAACTTCCTCGTAAAAAAACATATCTAGATAAATAGAAATTGCTACTAATAACAACCTCAATAAACTAAAAAATATAAAGGCCTATATTTTTATAAAAATAAAAATTAACTACATTTTAAAGACAAGAAACCTATCCAAACCAAAAAATTATCTTGTTTAAATACAAGCAAAATAAAATTGTAGCCAAATCACATAACAGTGTAACACAGTCAAATGTGCACGACATATGTATTCAGTTTATCAGAATTATCATTTTAACTTGAATCATGTTGTAAAAGAAAGAAGAAAAAAAGAAGAAGAGTAATTATAATATAATTTGATTATTAATTTGTGTGGGTGTGTTTGAATTAACTGACGTGATTTTGTCTCTTAGCCTGGTGGAGTGCTGAGTGTCGGGACTTCTCCAGCACATTGGAGTGCAGAGAGAGTTGGATTGAGTACAGTGAAATTGAATGCACTCTGTAGTCACAAAATCAGAAGTCATTGGATGAAAATGATTAATGAATCCAAGAGTGGTGCTTTAACGAGTACATTGACCGCGACTACACCCAATAGGGACCTGTCTTGTGCTGTGAATGCTACTACCTGTAGCCACGGAGATCATTTAGGTGTCCCACACTTCCAATATAAATTCAACAGGAATCTTATCCCCACAAAACTTTACAAATATTTCTACTATTCTTTTTTAATTATAAATAATATTTAATATCTTAAGAAAATTTTAAATCTTTAATACTACCTTTCTTTTTATTTATAAGATTTATATAAAAATCAATTTATATTATTTCGTACATTAATTATTTTTAGATTTAAATATTCTTAATTAAAATCTGATAAAAATATATTAATTATAATTTTTTTTAAAAGTATATGAATATTAATTAAGAAAAAAGTAATATAAAAATAATTTTAAAAAATATATAAATAGAATAAATTTATTATTATAAACTTAATTATTTTTTAAAATTTTTATGAATTAAAATATTGAGTCTTATAACATGGAACTCTATCCTAACACTTAAAGATAAAAAGAAGAGAAAAAAAAATGTATATCAATAATGTAATTATTGTTTATAAAGTCTTTGAACAACAAATTTAAATTGACATTATGACATATATATGATTGGATCAAAAATTGACACGTATAAGTATGTTAATTTTCATATATAATAATTATCTTAAAAATAATGTCTAGTATAAAATGTAATTGATTAATTATGTATAAATTTTTACATTTACAAAAAACTAAACTGAATCAATTTAAAGAAGAAAAAAATGTTTGATATATATAATATACTTGATGTAAACGTTCAATTAATTAATAGCCATAATATTAGGAACAAATCCAGACTGCCTCCTACATTATAGGTCATTAAGGCTGAAAATGAAGGTTGAAACTCGTGAGTAAGTATTAAGTATTGTTTTTTTGGGTTTAAATATTTTTAATAGGAGAAAAAAAAATGGGCCTTGATATTATAACAAGTGTATAGGGTGCGAATTAAAGAACTAATGATAATTTTTTATTATTATAAATATGTTAAAATAAGTTAATATTTTTTTTTACCTACTAAATCGGTGTACACCCACTAGTCAGAAAGATTGAAAATCCAAAGATAGTCGTAGCTTTGTGGATGCTGAGTCAGCCATATGGTGTTACGTAGCATTAAAAGGTCCACCTCAGACTTTCAGAATCCCCACCTTAATTAAATTAAATGTGCTTCTCCATAGTTCTCACCAAGTTCACAAAGAGAGGACCATCAATTGCTATATTTATTCTGCTGTTGCCAGCAATATTTCTGAAGCAGAGATTATTGTCCATTTTCACAGAAATGGGTCAAGTAATACCTTCTCTCTTATATCTCAATCAATTCGTCTCTTTTCTCTTATTGACAACTTTTGCTTTCAAAACTAACTACTCTGTATAGGACTATGATCATATATATATTTTTCTAACTTTTATGATCTTGTTATATATAATGTCTCCTCTATGATGGTGGCATCATTACTTCATCGCGTAGTGCATGCCATGCATACTAGTCTAGTCCTACACATAGTGCAGATTTTTCAGTCACATTTAATTAATGTTCTATTTGGTGTTAAAGGAGAACAAGGAAGAAGGAAAGAAAGAAGAAACCACAGAGGAAAAGAAGGAAGAAGAGAAAAAGGACGAAGAGCCTCAAGAGATAGTGCTCAAGGTTGATATGCACTGTGAAGCTTGTGCAAGGAAAGTTGCAAAAGCATTGAAAGGATTTGAAGGTGTCATTTTACTTCAGTTTATGGCTTTATGCTCTGTGTCATTTAATCTAGTTAATGTAGATCTATGAATGCAACTAGATGAGAATCAACAGAGTTTACACATTACTAGATTTTAAGAATTAGTGTCAGCTTGTACTTTTGTTCTCTTTTTCCCTTTTCTTTTCTTGTTAGAGGGATCTTCTTGTCCATGATTGATTTTGAATTTCACAACTTTACATGATCAAGTAATTTGTCATGTATATATTATTCTCAACTTTTACAGGTAATTTTACATATGCCCGTTCAAATAGAGACAAAAATTCATCATTTCATTCGTATTTAACATAGATAAAGGTATAGGTGGTGGAAAAGATTAATAATAAAGTATTATTAACAAAATTTCACATATGTATATATATATTTTTTTGTGAGACAGGAGTGGAGGAGGTGACTGCAGATAGCAAGGCAAGCAAAGTAGTAGTGAAAGGAAAGGCAGCAGACCCCATAAAGGTGTGTGAGAGACTACAAAAGAAAAGTGGTAAGAAAGTGGAGCTCATTTCACCTTTGCCAAAACCTCCAGAGGAGAAAAAAGATGAAGAAGAAATCAAAGAACCGCAGCCAGAGGAGAAAAAGGAGGAGGTAAATCATTCAACAATGTTGTAGCTAATCATTGATTCTCCTTAAGAAATCTTCTAAATCATGTTTGATTTTGAGTAATCCAAAATCACACTGGAATCTCATCAATTAACATGGTTTCAAGTAAAAATTCATAATTTGGCTCTAGGTTAAAAAAAATTGATTATGAATTTATAATTGATTTTTAGTTGAACCAGTTAACTTTAAGTAGCTTTTACATTTGATCAAACATAAATTGTTTTTACTTACAAAACTCCTTGAGCACACTTTAAAACATGAAATAAGTTATTTCCTTGGAGATTAAAATGAGTGGGGTTGTGCATGATAAACGTGACTAACATTGTTGCAAAGTGAAATACTTTGGCTTGAGTTACAATAACTATTTTTATTCATAGTAATTATGATAATGACAATAAGATTCCAACTTACTTCAAGTTTTCACCATTAGGCCAACCCTAATGTTAGTTATCATAATTTTTATTTTTTCTTTTGGTTTTTTGTTCCTGTTGTTTCCAAGGAGGATGGATGCTATGGTAGCATGAAAGTAACGAAACAAAGTCATAAAAATGATGCCCCTCTCCCACAAGGCACATGAAACGAGGGCAACGGTGGCGACAATTAATAGGGCTTGACCCCACTCCCTTTATCAACTTGACATGCAGCTTGCAGCAAAATGGGGTCACGGTCACGGACTCATTATAAACCCTTCTGTTTTTACTTTTTTACCGTGTCCACCCTCTAGAATTGAGAGTTGATAACAGTATGTCTACATGCCACACATTTCTGAATTTTGAAGCCACACACTCATAAGGTACAAACATAACCATGTGAAGTGGGTACGAGGGGAGAAGTTGAAAGTTGAAACAACAGTTCTTCTTGTAGATCAGCACACTGGTCCTATGCTAGCCAATGGCCCATATCTCAATTCACAAAATACAAATTAGTGGGAGCACTTACGGGCGTCTCTCTTCCTTTTTTCTTTTTTTCTTTTTTCCATCCACGTAAAATGAGTTGTCACACATGGTGCCATATAGTTGGCATATAACTATATAACATGTTTAGATATAACTTAGAAGTGTTTTTGAGAATTAATTTACTGAAAATTTTAAAAATGCTTGTAAACTTGTATTTAAATAATAGTTCATAGTCTTTATGTCCGTGTCTAAGGTTTCAATTCTCAAATTGGTGTTTATGAACACATGTTGAGAGTCTTTAATATTGAAAGATTAGTATCTTACTTTCTGCTAGAAAGATGAAATAAAATAAGGTAAATTTACTTTGATTCATGAACCGATCAACCCTAACTCCATAGGCATGTAAAAGAATTCAAAGAAAATTTGATATTTTTTGATTGAGATAAAAGAATTCATTTTGAGATTTTTTTTTAACAGTTATGAAACAATGTTACTCATCTATCTTAACCAGCATTACTCATTTTATGCACGTTATATAATGTTCAATCGATGTAACATGTTTCATGGTTGTTTCAATTGTTTGTCAGCCCCCTCCTGTGGTAACAGTAGTCCTCAAAGTTCGAATGCATTGTGAAGCATGTGCTCTAGTTATACAAAAGCAAATTCGCAAGATTCAAGGTACAAAGATTCATGTTATCTTTCCCTCTTTTTCTCTTGATATAATGGTATTCACGCTCTCTCTCTCTCTTTCTCTCTGATATTGATTGCTTCTCTGAACTGTCTCTCCCTCCCTCGTGCACACACTACTAACACGTTTTAGATCATTCGCCATCTTGGACCCTACAGTTTTAAAACAAAATCTTTCTCGTCAAATCTTTAAATCAAATGACATGTGAATAAATTTAGAATGCAAGACTTTCATATTATATAAGAGCAATAGTACCAACACACTTTTTGATCATACATTGTTTCCTTCTTTTAAGTGCTGGATCAATTTTATGCGGATAACTCTCTAAAACGACCAAAGTGTGTTTTGAATTTTTCATTAAACTCAAATGAAATTCTCCCAATAAAGAAATAATCGAGTATATTAAAAAATTGTTATTATCTATGCAGTAAAAGCTAGGTTAAGGAGCATATAATTTACTGATTTTTCTTAATCATGGATGGCATAAGAATCATAATGTGTGGCGCTGATCCCGTTCCTTTCAAAAGTGTGCGAGCTTTCAAGTTTTTTCATGCAGCCTTTTGACCGAAAGAGTTGTGAATTTATCGTTGATTTCAATTGGATCTCGAGGATTATATATTAATCACAGTGCCAATGTCATGTATATATATAACTTAATTCAACTGCATAAATTTTTCTATTTCGCTGCTGATTTTATGGGGGTGGGCGTTGCATGATCTTGAAATATTTAATATATAATCGATTCATGCTTTTAACTTTTGTTTTTTTTTGTAGGGTCAAACTTTAACTGGTATGTTAAATTAAAAAGATACCTCGGCGGTTAACTCGTGCTTTTGTATTAAACTTACAATTTACAAACATGATCAAAGTTTAATTTAATTAATCTCTAATCTATCTTTATATTGCGATGTTAAACATATTAAATAATTTAATCATTGTCGAGCAATCTATGACGTGCTAACATGTATATATTAATTATAAATTAAATATGCAGGAGTAGAGTCAGTGGAGACAAGCTTGGGAAATGATCAAGTCATAGTAAAAGGTGTGGTTGAGCCAGCAAAGCTAGTTGATTATGTGTACAAGAGGACAAAAAAGCAAGCTTCTATTGTGAAGGAAGAGGAAACAGAAAAGAAGGAACAAGAGGAGAAAAAGGAAGAGAAAGAAGAAGAGAAAAAAGAAGGCGAAGAAAACAAGGAAGATGATGTTGAAGACGATGATAATAAAACTGACATCAAGCGAAGTGAATATTGGCCATCAAGATACTACGTTGACTACATTGACTATGCTTATGCTCCTCATATTTTCAGTGATGAGAACCCAAATGCATGTACTGTAATGTAGATCAGTCTTTAGTAACTCGGTATCTTAGTAGCTGATCAACTGAAGCAACTTCTTGTGCTGTGTTGTTGGGGCAATGCATAGTGGTGAATATTTTAAGGCTTTATGATTTCCACAGCATCCCTCAGAGTTGGCATTCTATGGAGCTGGATGCCTTGTTTTTTGTGTTTATGAGCTTTCTACATATTTCCTTGCCAAAGGGTGGTGGCCAGAATCACTTGTGTTAGTGTGTACTGAATTTTGGCCTACAACTTTAGTTCTGTACTTATAATGATGTTAATAATTTTTAGTCATCATTGTAAAACTTGTTGGGTCTATATGTATAAAAAGGATATTTATTATGAAAAATCAGTTCTTAAATAGATCATAGTATGTTGAGAGAATAGTCAATATTAATAACTTCTGATTAAAAAATACATATTAGTCCAAAAAATAAACAAACTTGCTGCAAAAATGCCACTTTAAATGCAAACATAACAAAAGTATTACTAGCAATTAGCAGAATTCACAAGACATATTATAGCCTTCAATCAATGTATTACTTCTCAGATTTTTTTAATACAAAATATGATATAAAAAATCATTAGTTGAAACAAAATATAGGCCACAGTTTGAAGGTTTTTTTTTTTTTAATTAAAGCCACGGTTTGAAGTTGAGGAGAACTGAATTGGATCGGTGCACTTAGGCTTCTTGCCCAACTGCTTAAGGAGCTATGGTTGAAGTTTGTCCTTAATTTACACGGACAGCTGCTGAGAAGGTAGGGAACAATAATTGACCAAAATAAATGACAATAAAGATGTAGGAACCAATTGCTTAGCGATTCTGCATTAGGGTCTTTCATTTTCAAGCAGATGTTCCATGTCTTATAAGTTATAATAGATATGTAATTAATTATTAATGGAGCAAAATATAACTTCTAATTAAGATACATATTGAGTAGTAGCGCTCATGGTTTTATAAAATTCTAAGTCCTCCTATAGTTTTTTTTTTTAATTTTAATTTTTAGTCCTCTTGCATGCTGAATAAAATAAAAATTCTTTTGTTTTTGAAATATGAATTATATATACTTTTTATCAAATATTTTGTTTATTGAGTAATAGGAAAGTATAGTTCTATTCATTTGAATATAAACCAAAAAGGATATGTTAGTTGCAATATGACCAGTTTTGCAGAAAGAATCATGCAAAGTAGTGGCGCGGAATCTAATTCGAAAAGGAATAGGATGCATGCAATCTACCAATCTCTGAAGCAATGGGACGTTTAAGATAGCGAAGGTGATATCTGAATGGATGCATAAAATCAAAAAGGCGAATCAGGAGCACTTTATTCTTGTAAAGCTGGGGCGAACTACTGCTTTTTTAAGGTGACAAAGTAAGAAACAGAAACACCATGACACAGACTTCCAGAGGCTTTTTATTTCTTTTTCTCTTGGAGGTGTTATACACTTGCTGTTATATTTGTGTAAATTAATAATGCATCATTCCATCGTTTTAATGGGAATAGAATTCAACTTCCATAATACATTTTTGATCAAATAGTGCCTATAGCAAGAAAACTCGAGGCCTATTCTAGAGAACAAGGCAGAGGACCATTCAGCAAATAGACTGCAGCAATAAAAAATTACTCGTGAAAATGACAATATTACCCCTGCGCGATTGAATTTACGTAATTTCAAATTTTAAAAAGCCCTCAAATAGTTATATATGTCTAACAACACCAATGTATTGCATGTTTGTGTGTGAAAGAGATGTTTAATCTGAAAACTAAATGTTCGTATAATTCATGAAATTAACATAGAAGATCTCAGAAAATATAACTGTTAATTTTATACCGGGATCCACATATTTCAGGTGTACGCCATGACACACGCTATTCAATAATTTATTATAAATATTAAATTTTACTACTTCAACTGTTATATGAATGAGTGAGAGAGAGGTGGTAGATATGAAGTGTAATCGAGGTGAACCCAACAAATATGATGAAATTACCTTTCTTTCTTTTCCCTTTTATCTTGGTGTGGTTTAATCAACATTCCTAGAGAATAGCATCATCAAATGATGTAAGAAAGGAAACTGAATTGCATGATGAATGGCCATCAAGCAATTGCATTATATGTACCACAATCTTTACTTTCATGTAATGATCCTCATGGAGCTTAGAATTTCTCACTTATAGCGATACCGCTCGAAGCTATATTAACTAAGGCTTTAAAGGCTACACAGTCCATGTAATTTATGTTTACCTCTGCAAAGACTTGTACAGCACTACAGTCACATATTTGGCTAGAAACCGATGAGTTGTACCAAGCGCAACCACTGAAGGGCTACCCTTTCCTTTCTGCATGTAAAGATGATTGAGCACTACATGCTGGGGTCTGCATGTAAGAGGTTGGATGTCCATATTTGTTGACGGAACATTAAGAAGCGTCATTTGTAAATATGGAGGAACTAATGGTGGCTCCTTTGCATAATCTTCAGAACTAAGCTGTAAGTTGTTATAACTAGAGTCTGGTGATTTAGGAGGTTCAAAACTAGAAATGCTTTCAATGTCTTCAGGAACAAAATCCTGTATATAATATACAAAATTGTTAGTCTCGATATAGATGTCAACGCCCTCTTGCAGTAAAACATAGAAAAGGACATTATTTTTAGCCCTATAAGACATGTAACGAAATCAATTTTATCATCATTCTCTCATACCCTATTTAGGAATTGCAAGTTATACCAATCACCATATAAGTTTTACTAGAGTGACATGAGAAAATTCCACAAGTACAATTTACAAGACAAAAAATGACCACAATTTTTTTGGATAAACTGAAAAATCAATTTCAAGCACATTAAGGATGATTATCTAAAAAGCAAATGAGACTTGCAGAAAAAAGAAGAGAAGAGAATTAGGCAAAGAGCGTGAAATAAATGAAAAAAGGATAGGCTCCCCCAGCAGAAAAATGAATGCAACGGATATACTAAACACGAGTTTCATGCCTAAAAGAGAGAAATTAGAATTTGATAACTTGAAAGGAGAGAAAAGTGAAATCATCCCCAGTTGCTGCAAAATAATAAGGTCCTTAACAATTCACTCATACAGGGTTCCTTAACAATTAGATAAGGATCCATTAAATCACCATCACACATCAATTTTGATCACGAGCTAAACATGTCAACAATGTAGTAGTACCTGCAAGTCCAAAATGTTGTAAGCATTCCCTGCATCATCTTGAGTCCAAGGCAAATCAGGGGCGTACCTCCACTGTCCATCAACAATAAATCTAAATTGGTATACACCAGATGGCAGCACCTTCATTATTGTGAAGTCCTTCCCTGATCTCTGTAAGGACATTCTGATGAACCAAGAATATTAGAATCTAACCAACAGCTATAACAGCCTTTCAAAGACAAATAAAAAGGCATCAATTGTGCATTTGATTCTTTTATGCTTTCAGTTTCAGTTGATGTCTGCACTAACAATTCAAAATTGCTGACATACTTTTACTTTGGTTCCACTTCCAGATTTCAAGAATTTGCAAAGGAAACCGTGAAAACTAAAGGTAACAATTTCGCAATTACTAGAGAAAACATATCAACTAAAAATGACAACTATAAACAAAAGGCCAACAAAACAAGTCCTAAATTTTCCAAACCTTGTTTTCCAATTATCCCATGATCCCTCCACAGCCACTTCCTTCCCATCATAACTCCAAGTAATCATCGTTGGAATTGCTAGTTCACTGTACATATCCTCATACCCCGAGGTAGTCTGCATCCAGGAAGGGCTTGGAGCATGCATCTCATCAGGTCTTTGAAGCGGAACCACTGGAACCTAAACACAGGGAATAGGGAACGGTTAACAATTGACGGAGAAAAAACAGAGAATCCACGAAAGCAGAACCTAAAAACAGACAACAGCCAAGCACGTATATTCAAAGCAACAAAATTTCAGAACCAAGCTTAATAGAGGCCAAATAGCACATCCACTATGATGGGGAACAAAACACTGTACAGCCTCTAGTGTCCACATTAAACTCGGAAGAGTAAGGGGTAGGATAGCAGATTCCTGAACTGGACAAAAAAATCTAGAAGGTGCGAATATAGTTTAAAGCAATCCCAACTAGCACCATAAGCAAATTCCTTCCCCAGTCACATCATAGCAACACTCAATTAGGTTCCCACACATGCTGATTGATCCAATTACCAAACACCACTGGCTGAAAGCAAGGAACTCGAAACTAGTAAATGAACAAAACAGAGGGAAAATCAAATAGCTTCAGAACTTGATAATCCACCTCATAAACTTGCATCAAACAGCTGGTCTGCACCAAGAGTTCTTTTACAATCTCAAAAATAAAAATAAAAAATAAAAACGATTCAACTTCCAAAATGAATGCACTGTCCTAAGACACGTCATGCCGAACCAAGACATAGCAACATTGAATCAAAAAGTTCGACTTTTGCATTTGCTAGTACTGATTTGGCAGCGAAAAAATGGGGATGGAAAGAAAAAAAAAAGGAATTTTTTTACAACGAGGACGAAATAAAAGATGAAAAAAGAAAACCCATTTGAAAGAGAGAGAGAATGAGGGAAGTAGTTACTTGAGGGGCGAACATGAAAGGGGATTGGGTGGCTCTAGGGCTAGCAGGGGGAGAATGACCCATCAACTCTGAAGGTGCAGGGTTGGCGGACATGCAATCGGTGACAGAGTCGGAGGCACCATCTTCGTTGTCATCATCTTCTTCTTCTTCTCCTTCGGTCCCTGATGGCGATGGAGTACCGTTGACGTCGTCTCTCCCATTGACATTGCCCATGGTTGATATTGGGGGAGAGAAGAAGAAGAAGAAGAGAAAGAGGGAAGTGGGTTATGAATTATGATGATTCTGCGAAGGAAGGAACGAGAAAGGAGTGTTGGGGATGGTGCTCACGTCATCGTTGCCATGGCCAAAACAAAAGCCCCAACCCAAGGAAAGGGAGTACCATCATGCTATGCTATGGGTCACTCTCACATCAACATAAGGGGTTTATGTGGAATTTTCTTTTACTTTTTTTTTCTTTCCTTCTTCATTTCATAAACTAAAATACCTCATCCATCATTCATAAATTCACTTATTTAAATTTCAAGTACATATTTTAAAGAAATAATAATTAATCGTGCTTTTAGTCCTTCTTATAATTTCATTTGTTCTTTTATAAAAAAAAAATAACTTCTTTTAAATTTCTTATTTTAAATAAAAACAAAGATAGTTTCATTATGTTCTATAATCCTCTTAAATTTATAATTTGAATATAGTGTTTTATTATTTATTAGTTAACTTTAGTCTTTTTCGACTATCTTTTTCAATGCTTAATGAGTCTTTTTCATGTAATTGTGATTTTATTTTCATATATATAATAGTTGTTTTTTAGTTAATTTTTTCTGTTTTTTTCTTTAATGTAAAAAGTAGTTATTTTTTAAAGAATTTGTTCTTATGGCTCAAAGTTCCGTCACCGACTATATAAATCACGTTTAATTCACGTAAACTCTCAATTAGTCATGATACTCCTTGAAATTATCATTGGTGACATGGAAAGAAAAATACTTTAATAACTTGCGTGAAGAAACATAGATGCAAGAAGACAAAAAAAAAATAATAAGAAGCAATCACCTTTGGGACTCAAATTCCTCACTCGTGTTGGGACTTTGAATTGCGAGAGAAAAGACCTCAACCAGTTATAAATACACATAAATCATAAATGTTTGACATTATTAGGCTTAAATAGCTTCAAAACGGCATAGATATTACTTTAGTACTACTAAATGCACTTTTCTAATGCTAGAGTGAAAATAAAAGTTCCTACTTCTTCTGATGATATCACAGATACATTTAACTCCTGCAAAAACCAACTTAGTTGATAAGAAATGAAGAGAAATTTGTTTCTACCATTCAAGAGAATCAAAATTTGCATTCCCATTGACACGAGATTATAGACATTTTATAACTTTAATACCATATATTCTATAGATTTGCAAATGGACCCGAGCACCTCGAGGAACCTGGAAATGCAACATTGATGCTGCTTTCTTCACAGCGCAATGACTGAATTGCACAACTACATGCCTAGGGTCAAAGAAGGAGAAGCACTATAGCTCTACTGGCTGCCATAAAATGGCTCTCAACATGTATTTGGATAAAAAAATGTTCGACATATTAAACAATTATCAATTATCATTGAATCAGACTGTGAATGGGTTGTGCATGATCTACGCCACTGCAGACAGACCTTACCGAATTTGGAGCTATCCTTGCACAATGCAAGAACTTGCTCACCTCCCTCTTTAACTTTCAAGTTTGTTTTTTTAAAGAGCCAAGCCAACTTAGTTGCTTACACCTTAGCTAAGACTTGTAATTTGTATTTTAGTCATTATCACTTTTAGTATATTACACATTTTGATCAAATTAATATAAGTATGTTACTTTCGAAAAAAAATACCATCTATACATTTCTAGACAAATTATGCTGGTTAATGTGTAATATATATATATAATAAAATTGGATCATCTTTAAATGTGAATTAAAATGACCATTATGTATACATTAATTTAATTTAAGAAGCAAGATTCTGTTGGGAACAGCTGCCACCAGCTGCCAATGCCACTTTCGGTGGCTTTTAATTTAAAATTAAAAGCGGGTCCCACATGATAATAAAATAATATTAAAAGTTTAGGAGAAATTACGAAAATGCCATTGGGACTTTCCTATAAATAGGGAAGCTGAAAACCATAATTTTCATCCCAAATCTTCTTCTCTTCTCTCTTCCTCTCTTATACACCTTGAGATCTGTTCTCGGTAGTAGTAGTCTCCTAATTCAAAGGAGTAAGTTATAGAGAGAGAAGTGTTGTAATTTCCTCCCTTTCAGTAAATAATATTTTTACTGTGGTTATTTTCTCCCTTGTCTCTTTTTACTCATCTCTTGTTTTAGCTGTGAGTAACTATTAAGCCTACTCTGGACCTAACAGTGGTATCAGAGCCACTAGGTTGTTTATTATTCCGCTGTGGTGTACATTGGTATAGT